AGGATGGATGATTTTATGGCTTCAGAATGGGGGTTTTGATTGGGCTTTATTGACTTCCAGAAGGTTACTGATCTGGTTCCTGTGGCACTCCCCAATTGCATGTTAGCCTCTTATCAGGTGTCGCTGAATTTCCTCAAATAAGGTGACGTGAACGGTAATCGTTCAGCTGACCACTATCCAATGATTTTTGGTGACTTCAAAGGTTGAATTTGCGCCATCTTCCTGGCGACCAGGACTCTTACTAATGGTTAATAATGTCTCGGATTGACACCTGGCTGTAGTAAGGTCTTTGATTCCGACCAACAACGTGTGGGCAGTTGTTTTCGAGGCCGGGCAGCTGATATACTCGACGCAACCCCTTCTTTATTTCTTTATTTCACAAGTACCCAGTAGTATTAGTTAATATTAGGGTAGCAGGTCGCCGCTACTAGGAGTGGTGCTTGGCCTGAGGGGTTGGCCGAGGTGAGCCAGGCTAACTTCTCATCCTGTCAGATGTGAGTCCAAATATTCCTCTTCCTCCGAGGACACCTCCTCTTAAAGTACTCCCACGGTATTGAAAGCTTATGACGACACAATCAGTAGAAGTACAATGCTACCATATCAACTTCAATGTCTTTATCTGTGATGTATGATCATTTCTATTAGCGTCCTTTGAACGCTATTCAGCAGTACCTTTTTGGCTCCTTCCAATCATTTTGATCCAGAGGAAAAGGACCAAGACTGTTTATGAGTGTATCTAACGATTATTCGATTTAGCGCTTCTTTTTTTTCTTGCTTGTGGAAGCTGAGGATCAATGCAATCGTCAGGGCGAGGTTTCGAGCAAAGTGAAGAGGCCTTCTGCACCAGGTCCGCAAGCAATAGATATTGGTATTGGGGTAGAGAAATTCGAATTCCGGCCCTTCGCAGTTAAGAGGGCCTCCGCAATCCTTGCATATGAGTTCTCTAGTACTGAGACCTAGCCAGCCACCTGTCAGATGGCTCCGCAGGTTCTTCTGACAGCAATTGTTAACCTCGGGTATAGAAAATGCAAGGAAGGCTATAATTTACCATCTGCGTCGGTTTTATAAATAGTTATAGTAAACCAAGTAGTAGCTGCCATAATTATTTACATAAGCCTCGTCGGCGTTTACAATTTGTTGCTTCCCAACTACAGTCCGGCTACTGCCTCGGCGCGCATTAACGTCCCTAAAGGGCTATTCCAATCTCACGAAGGATGCCAAAAGTGTCAAGGTTGATCCTCATGTCGACAATCAGACCATTTTGCCATCGGCAAATAGTGTAGTGCAGCAGATCAAACCTCTTGCCAGTTGGCTGCACCGGAGCGGAAGCTAGATAGGGCGGGAGGCTTAATGGGCCTTGGTGCGTGCCGCTGAGCATGGCAATGGTCGCAGTCCAATCCCCTTGGGCAACAACCTGCCTGTATGGCTTGTTCTCAAGTCTGAGGTCTGGGAACGCTTTTTTGAGCATGGCCAGCTTTTCAAGATATCCATCAAGGCTAAGAGGAGTATCTGTAAGGCCATAGACGGTCAGATTCGGCGAGAGGTGCAGACTCTGGTAATCGAATGTTCCAGCATTGAGACCGTCGTCGGACTCGGTCATTTTAGCCTTGTTGATGGCTGACTTATCAATACCAGGTGTGGTGGAGACCGGCGTGATGAACGGGTTGAGTTCAATATTGGGGAGATCCTTGGCTGGTGGTGTTGGGAGAATACCAAATTGACGGTAGAGACTCGGACCATCAGACCAGAGGTACTCTTCTTTCATCATGCCTCCATCCCAGCGAGCGATGGTCATAAGCTCAAATGTGACAGCCCGCCCAGTAGGCGGCAAGAACTCTCCTGACAAGCCCGGAATCGGGCCATCATTAATGCCGTCGACCTTTGCCAGAGCAACAGTCCAGACGCCCTCTCCGAGGAGCTCCCTATAATTATGATTATGGGGAGCAACATTGGAATATACCGAAAACGTAAGCCTCATGTCCTCGATGTGCTCTGTTAAGTTCATGACCACTCCACCTGTGTAGTACATAATAGAATCCGGGGCATGGTTGAAACGCGCAAGGTCGTGGGCGATAAAGGCATCATCGGAGATTTGCATCTGGCGGGTGTTCTGATCCACTGTCCAGTGTGATGCGTTGATTGAGGTGACTGGATTCTCAGTCAAATCTGCAAACAGTCAACCTTGGTCCAACGAAAGATATTTGAGATGGATCCCTGCGGCGTTTAGCTGTCGTTCCAGCGCCCTGGCCCCGTCTGTGTGGACTAGGAACAACCACACAGGAAGCCGCCAGGTCGCTAAGACCTAGCGAAAAAAGAATATGAGCGATATGCATTTTCTCGCTCGGTACCCGAATTACTAGTTTACAATGATCGTGTCAAATATTGGAGAGTGTTGGGCTTAAGACAGGCTGTCCATATCACAGAATGCGTTGTCGAGCTTATATAGCTAAACCCGCAAAGCCACGGTCCGCGTTCCCTCGAGCAATTTGCTGCCACATCTAAATGCAGCGTGCTCTGTTCGTCATGGGCTACGGGATTGTTTCTTGGCTGGTACGATTCAGGTTTCTGAGGCGTGTCCGGCCTTGGAGCTCGATGTATGCCAGATTCGGCCGAACTCTGGGCTGGTCGGGAAAACCGTTATGCGAAAATCGGACGAAAACTCCGACCCACTTTATCCATGGCCCTAAAATGGTGCAGTAAACAAGCCAAGGTAGGTACCTAGTGGCATCTATGTCCGGGGATTCCGGAGAGGCGCAGTTCCTGTGGACAAGACGATGTTTGTAGTGCATCATTCGTCCGCTTCGGGGGCCGATAAATCCGTACGAGCAGCCGCGCTTTCCATAATCTCAAACCCCCCTCAAATAAATTTCGTTCTTTTTGCGGGGGAGGGAGTGGGGGGTTTGGCATACCTCAGCGCATAGTTTTCATCTGTAGACGAACAGCCCATGGCGTGGTTTTCGACGGACGAACCTCAACCGCGGAAAGTCCGCAAAGGCACCCACAGTTGCTGGGAGTGTAAGTCTTCTCACCCTACCATTCTGAGCATATTGACAATAAGCAGGCCGTCGTCGCAAGGTTCGGTGCGGATATGCGTCGCCGAATGATCCCCTTTGCACGCAGTGCAAGGTTCGGGGGACGAAATGCCACAGCCAGAGTTTTGTCGACGAAGAAGAGGCATTGCACCTACCTGACCGGAAACTGGCAAAGCGACTGCACAGACTAGAGGAGCTTATGGGCAAGCTGGCCGACCGTTCGATACCTGATACAGGTGTTGCGAGCAAAGCCGACATTCTGCATCAGACCTGGCAAGGACACAGAATCTCCAAAAGCTCCTCAACTACGGATGATATCAACCTGGCAGAACGTCATAACCTTCTCAGTGGTTCAAGCGCGGTGGGTATGTTGGTCAGCATCCACGAGAAACTCTTACAACCCGGCAACATGATACCCAGTTGGGACTCAAAGAATACCGCGCAGACAGCACCTGAGCTGGCTCCTTCCGTGGAGAAGAGTAGGATTCTACATTCTTTTTTCCCATCACAAGAACTTATCAATGTCATTACTGGAGCCAGCACTGGTCCATACTTCATCACAGGGCTGTTCTACAGCCATGCCGACATTCTGGGGAATAAATCGGAGCCGCCGTCCACGGTTTCCACCGTACCGCCTGTACGAAGCCATCCCACGGTGCTTGCAAAACGGCTTTTACAGTTAGCAATCTGCATGCAGCAGCTTTCACCATCCAACCAAACACAATCTCTCTCGCTCGCAAAGACCATTCGACAGATAATGCCCCGGATCGTCAGCGTAGTTGCTGAGCTCGTCATATCAGACGACCAACTTATTTGCTGCTTGGATGGCCTCCAATGTCTGGTCTTACACGGTTACTGGCAATCGAATGCTGGCAATTTGAGAAAAGCTTGGCTTAGCTTTCGCAGAGCACTAAGCTTTGGTCAGTTGATTGGAATCGATGGCGGGAGACTCGATTCTTCGAGATCTACTGGCCTCGCTTCAGATTCAAATTTTCATCCATCTCCGCATACCTTATGGTGCCGCATGATTTCCTGCGACAGGTCCCTGTCACTCCTACTCGGACTTCCCGTCGGCTGTCAAGACGACAGCTTTGCTTCTGAGGCAGTCGCAGAGAATGAAAACGCGTTAGAGAAGCTCGAAAAGCTCCATGCTGTGGTCGCAGCCAAGATCATCGGTCGAAATCGTAGCAAGGACAACAATGATTTCCCTCTTACTCAAGCAATCGATTTGGATCTTGAGAGAGGTGTCAGACACTTAGATAAGTCCTGGTGGGATGAGCCAGCTGTGGACGTCTCTGGCAAACTCTCAAAGGTCATGGAAGCATTCCCTCGCCTTATTCTCCAGATCCAGCACCACACCATTCTTATTCTTCTCCACCTACCATACCACATACGCAGTCGGCCTGGGTCCCGGTATATACATAGCCAACAGACAGGGCTGCGTTCAAGCCGAGCGGTCCTCAAACTATTCAACATATTCAGAGCCGTTGTTGAATCTGCGTATTCATGTAGACATGTCGACTATGCCGCCCTGATGGCAGCGATGACGCTCCTGATCGGCTACCTTGGGCCTCAGCCCAATAGCCCCACTTCGCCAAACCAACTCGAAGAAGATAGACACCTGATCTTAAAAGTAACGGAAAGGATGGAGAAGGTTTTTAGTCTAAATCACGACAGACTTTCACAGGAGTCCTCGGGTATTCTTCGCCGACTTGTGGCAATCCTTGATACCAAAAGGGCTACTAATGCCAATCCTTCGAGCTCGATGACCAGGTCCCCGCAAATCCTGCGTCTCAACATACCATACTTTGGCACCATCAGCATCAATAATGGCTCTCTGGAAACTTCACCCACCGTAGCCGACCAAACTGGGCCATTGAGCACCGACGGGTATCAACTACCCGGTGTCCAGAACGCGACTGTCTCGTGCATGGGGCTAGGACGAGAATTTGATTCTGGGGCCAATGAGACGGTTGACTTCATTGGTGAGGGTACAACATCAATGCAGTGCCAAGAAAATACGTCCTCAATCCAATTCATTCCTCAAGGTCCCCTAGCCGACTTTACTATACCAGATCTAACCGCTGACGCAGACGATTGGGTGCTTCAAGGAGTTGATGCGACATTTTGGTCGCTTCTTTATGATGGTTCACACATGTCGTCAGATTCCGTTTAATATACCCCGTGAGCGAGCGGTTTTGCGTCGCTTCTGAAGTACCTTCTTTGGAAGGAAGTGCCTTTCCTCAGCCTAGAGCGTGATTGTATACGTCTTGCCGGTCTCAGTCTCCACGCTCTCAGCCACCTGGCCATCAATCTTGAATTTCTGCCCATGGGCTAACCCTTAGGGTCAACTTGCCCCCATTCCTCGACACCACTTTGGCCTCCTTGAGAGCCCCCCCGGCCTCCCAACTCACCGAGACAGAAAATCCACCCCTTGCAACGAGCCCACTGATCGATCCCGCCCCCGCTTTGCTCGACACAGCAGGCAGCAAATGCACGACTCCAGCATGGCTCTGCAGAAACATCTCCACTGCCGCTGCCACAAGGCCAAAGTTGCTGTCTATCTGGAAGGGGCCACCCTGATCAATCTCGTGGAAGAGGTTTGTCGATGAGTGGAGCCTCAGCAGCCCCTGCAGCTGTGTCAGAGCCGCTTCGCCATCAAACAGGCGCGCGAAACACGCTGCTATCCACGCCTTGGCCCAGCCAGTGGCCTCGCCGTTTGCGAGGCGGCGGTCGATCGAGACGCGGGCTGCTGCCGCAAGGGTTTCGTTTACGAGGGGCGTCATGCGACGCTCCGGATAGAGTTCAATGAGGTGGGAGATGTGGCGGTGGCCCGGCTCAGCCTCGACGTAGTCTCGGCGCCACTCTTGGATCTGACCGTGAGAGCCAATCATTATGGGATGGAGGCCATCACGGTAGGACTCGATCTTAGAGAGAGCGGAATCGTCTTTCAAGGGTATGTCGAGAGCAGATGCTGCTTCAAGGACGTTGGTGAAAAAGATGTAGAGGAGAGATACGTCTGATGTTGGCGAGATATCGAGGGCTCATGGCCACCCGGTACGTCGCCGTCGTCGGGGGGATGATGAAGACGTTCTCTGGCGAAAATGGAGGGGGCCAGTGGCCCAGTGACCCTCAAATTCAAAGAGGTAGCAGTCAAAAAACCTGACAATTTCAACGAAAAGGGGCCAGGCGGTTTGGCGGAGAAACACCTTGTCGTTGCTGAAGCGGTAGCGCTCCATCAACTGCTGAGACATCCAGAGGTTGCTTGAGGGCCATAGGCTGTAGGCCGTGCCGTTGGCGTTCGGGCAAGAGTCGCCCCAGATGTCCAGGTTATGGTGGGAGACCCAACCTGGGCAGCCGTACATCTCCTTGGCTGTGATGAGGCCCTTGTCACGGGTGCGGCTAAGCAGGTCCCACAGGGGTGGCAGGGTTTCCGGGAGGTCTGTCACCTCAGCCAGCCAGTAGTTCATCTCCGTGTTGATGTTGACGGAGTACTTGCTTCCCCTTTGAAGTGTCAGCATCATATTCTTCTAATCAGGCTAAGTCCTCAAGCACACGACTCGACAACATACCATGGAGGAAAGTACATGTCGTTCCAAATTCCCTGAAGGTTTGCAGGAACTCCCATTCCCGAAGATGCACTGGCTCGGGAAGAAGAGATCAGCAGATGACGCCCAAAATTGAAGTTGAGCGTCAAGAACTCGGGATCCGCGGTGGCATTCACACGGTACGCGGCTATTCTCTTGTCTGTAGTCAGGAGTCCGGCTTCACTGCTTGAACCAAGGTCAAGCTCAACTCTTTTCATCAGAGACTGGTGATCCTTGGCGGCTTGCGACTTGATTGTGTCGAAACCAGTCTTAACAGCAACATCCAGCTGGCGTGTAAGCTCTTCCTTGATCTTGTCAGTGGAAGCCCATCGGAAACTGGTTTCTACGTTCACGAAAATATCGACAGTAGTGGCTCCCTCAACCGAAATCATAGAGTCATTGCCTTTGCGAATAGACCCTACACGCATTTGTTCATTAGTCTTTCTGCACGATAGCCGTGTTATCATGAGGATCGCTCACCATCCTCAGCCACAAGCCTGACGGCAGTTGAAAACGGAATAGAACCAGCGTCGTCACCGCCAATATCCAAAACCAACGTCGAAGCGCAGGAAGAAGAAGTATTTTTGAGGATGCCCTTCTCACGGTACCAGCTGGTGTTGAAGCTCAGAGCGCCGTGCTGGCTCGCCGTGAGACGCATGGCAATAGCTCCACCGTCAGCCCCTGCGACCGCCTCTCGACTGCCGGTTTCGTCAGCTTAGTTCAAATCTCTAGATGGCCAAGACTCACGTGTAATTAACACCGTTCCAGTTGAACACCGTTCCAGTGATGCCCGTTTGTGTGTCGAGCCACCTTTCATAGCCGGACCACCCCTCCTCTCTGTGTCCAAAGTCCAGAAATAAATCTGCAGTGACTGAGTACCATTGAGTGTCCGTAGGAATACCAGTCATATTTCGCAGTGTAAGTTGTCCAGCTTCCGTGTACTTCCCCTTCGTCAGGAGATCACGGACAACAGGGAAAGCGCTCAGAGAGCCGGGGTTGGCACGATCCTGGAAAGGACCGCTCCAGACGGAGTTCTCATTCAGTGTGATCTTTTCGATAGCAGAGCCATAAACGAGGGCTCCCAGTCTCCCGTTACCAATGGGAAGGCCGGACTTCAGGTCTTGGCCCGGGGTTTCGTACCAGAGGTGACTGTTTGCCGTGTATCCATTAGGCTGTGCCCATGATTGGGAAGCGAGAAGGAAAGATGTGAGTACGGCGAGAAGCATGTTCAAAGCATTGAGAATGATGAAGGAGCTGATTGTTTACTGCCCTGGAGTAGGGAGAATCTAATGTACTGCTCTGTGCACGTCTTTCTTATATATCACAGTGGCGGAGTCTTCGGGGCAGTGCGTCATGAATCGCCCGCTAATAGAACCCCTCCGCGGGTACTAAACATGAAGCGAAAATTTAAATATACCGGCTGCCAAGTCAATTAAAGATAACCGCTGATTAAAACTAGTTTCGGGGTTGCAGCAATGATCCCTCTGTCTGCCGGATCTTCCGACCAGTGCGCCGATGATCAATTCGAGCAGTCGATGGTGTACTTTTATACCTCAAAGAAACAAGATCACTTGTCGGGATAATCGGAGCCGAAATAGGAAATTGAGATGCGTGCAAACTTTTATTACATTGCTGCGTTCGAGGAGGTTACTGCTTGCCGGTCGGAATGGCGTTGTGGGTAGCTGCTGGGGCAGTGCAAAGCGTAAGAAGAGTGACGCATAGTTTCATGGCTGATTGTTGAATCAGGTACAATACAGAATGGCTGGTGAGGGAAGGGTCGTTAGGATCCAGCGATGGACGTAACTATTTACCATGGAGACTATCACGATGATTGAATGAACAAGGGAGGTCGATGGACTTTGCACTCCCAGTCGTTTGTGCATAAACCCACAGTTTTCTACCATCGGACACACCAGCACACTCATTTAAATGTGAAACTAATAAATATTATCGTGCCTCGATAGGCTAGATTCCGGAGGTTCAAGTATGTATGGCCTTCACTGTCCGCAAGAATGAAATGAAGACATGTTGCTACTTTGTCATGGCGGTCTTGTAAACAGCTCGTTACCCTGGCCCCGGAATCCTGGGGCCCAGGCGTTTCAAGGCGTCCAACCGAACTCCAAATCGCTGCTAGGTCGACTTCTTGTGCACATTGTTAGGATTTCGCAATTGCCGTCTGCTTCGCCTGCTAGGCCTTTCCGCCCACCCATGCTGTCACTTGTGCATATGACATACTCTGGATCATGGTGTGTTGTCTCATACGGACGCCTGCGGCACCAAAATACCCAGAAGACTGGTGTAATTCACCTCCAAACCCCTTTTACAATATTTTGTCCCAGCCTGCTCCCGTACAACACGGCTCGAGCGGCAGGGAAGGGAGAGGAGACCCTGCCAAAACCTATTTCTGTCTGAAGATGGCTGAGCAACACACTTTGAATCATGCGTAAGGAACAAATCGAATGGCCGGACGCTTGAATGAATCAGCCTGAATGATGTTCTGGGATACTGGCTGTCAAGACAGACAGGCCACAGGGTTTTGTCACCACATGCGGTTAGCAATACGGCATGGCCCGGACATCCCGAGAAAACCAATTAGATATTCCGGTCTAGCTAGAGAGACGACCCACCATGCACCCGGAAAATCACTTGGCAACGGTAACTCGGCAAACTACTGGCGGTGAAACGGCGATGGCTCATTGATTCATGACTCCCGTAAAACGTGTTGAAATGTGCATTGGTATTGTGACGTTCCCCTTGCTGCTGTGGTAGGAGATCGTGATGCAACCTGAACTTTGGTCCCCACGCTCATCGGACGGCAGATCAATCGTGCAAGGTTAGAGCGGCACGACAGTGTTGGTCGGCAACGAACCCCAGCACTGCATCTCAACCCAGCACTGCACCCAGCACTGCACCCAGCACTGCACCCAGCACTGCACCCAGCACTGCACCCAGCACTGCACCCAGCACTGCATCTTGAACCAGCACTGCATTTAGATTCTTGCCAATCAATTCACTTTCTTTGACTCACCTTTGAGTGCATCGTGAGGCTGCTTAAGTGTTAGGATAGCCAGGTATGCATCTTTCGGCTGACGTGCGGCTGAGTTAATTCCTCAGTCGATCAATTCATAGGCCAGCTCTACCTTCGAAAGAGCGAAGAAGGAAAAAGGAACGTGTACCTGGCTCTTAGAACGTCAGACGGTAGAGGCGACGGCGTAGTAGACATTACACTACTCACTTGACGCCGAAATAGCCGATATTTGTTGACAGCAAACACTGAACAGAAAACTGGCCCACTAGTAGCCTCCACAATAGGCCTACTACGTGACAGGGAGGCATGGGCCGGTGCTGATCTTCTGGTGAATTGAGGTGCTATCGGACCTCGGTGTAAATAAAAGCCGTTCGTGATGAACAGTGAGGTAGCCACCATCCGAGCATCCGGCTCCTGTGGTGTAGTGTGGCAGTTGGATTCGCAGATGGCCATACAGATTCAGCTGTCGATCTCGCCCAGTTCCGAGAACACTTTTTCCTAACTCGACTAGCAGGAAATTATTTTGTATGATGGCAACAAATATAACTCACATATTCGAGTCATTGCGCTGCATCACGATGAAGATTTGGGCGCCTCCCGGCCAGAGCTGCACTCGAAATGAGTCTCTGATATCGTTGATGAAAAATGCCTAAGGTCTCGAACTCTTGAACTCGTACGCTACCACTGACAGCGTCGATACACCCTGTACTTCCGATTAGGTAGGAGTCGGATGCGGAGTAGAACGACTTCCAATATTCGTTGCTTATAGTTGTTTAGATCGGACCGGACAGCGAACAAATGCAAGTTTCCTTATGAGGATAGTCAACCGAGACATGTGGGGAGGCTTTCGAGATACCACCCACTCCCCCCACTGGCACCCGGCACGCAGCATATCACATATACAAAGGGCCTCACGCATGCTTACAAGTATTTGTTTTTCATCATGCAGTCTACTCAACATCCGTTCTAACATCATCCTCCCAATATGCTGGACCAAAAGGATTTCAAAGTCATCATAGTCGGCGGAGGTGTTGCAGGTTTAGCTCTAGCTAACATGCTGGAGCAATACGGATGGGACTACCTCATTCTCGAATCGCACTCCGCTATCGCGCCACAGGTGGGCGCAAGCATCGGGATGTTTCCCAACGGCCTCCGTATACTCGACCAACTGGGGTTGTACGATCCGATCCACGACCACTTTGAAGGCCAGACTCGTTGTGAGACATTCTACACTCGACGTGCTGACGGCACAGTTATTTCACAACTAAATGATGTCCGAACACATCTAGAGAGGAGGTGAGTGTCTTTGCACCTTTGCTTAGCCAATAGTGTCCTATTCGAACGACTTTCAGCTAATAAACCATCGAAGGCACGGTTATCCATTCCTATTCTTCGACCGCCAGAAGCTTCTAGAAATCATGTACCGCAACCTCCAGCACAAAAACCGAGTCCTGGTCAACAAACGTGTTACTAGCATTGAACTCTCCTCGGGTGCTGGCTCTGTGACGTGTGCTGATGGCACAGTGTTTCGAGGCACTCTGGTAGTTGGTGCAGATGGTGTTCACAGCACGGTCAGGGAATTTCATGACCTCCATCGCCAAAAAGTTCGATCCAGGCTATTTCGACCATACAGAAGCGTCTCGAGTGCCATGCTTCTACCGTTGTAGCTTTGGCATTGCGAAGAATGTGCCCGGCTGGGTCGATGGCACTCAACACACCATTGTCGGCCAGGGCATAAGTCAGCTTGTCGTATCCGGGCCGGAAAATAAGGTGTACTGGTTCTTATTCGAGAGGCTTTCGCGACCTAATTATGGAAAGGACATTACTCCATATTCACGGGAAGACGAGGCAGAATTCGTCAGGCTGCACTATACGCTGCCTGTGACAGAAAACATCACCTTCGGCCAAATTTACGAGGCCAAGTCAACGTCGACGCTCACCCCGTTGCATGAGGTGGTCTACAAGAAATGGTTCTACAAGCGCATAATCACGATCGGAGATTCAGCCCATAAGGTACGTTCCTACGCCTAGCCAGCCCGTATCTCTGTATATTTCCAACCTTTGGACCGTCAGGTCCACCCTTATCCATCCACGTCGAATTCTCGTTCTGATACACAGTTGATAGCCAAATCCTGTCGGTGGTCAAGGAGCAAACGGGGCCATCGAATCGTGTGCCGAGCTCATCAACGCAATAGTGCGCATGAAGGATGGTCGTGGCGGAGACCTCAAAGGCCTTACCACTGAGGAAGTCGTTCAAGTCTCACATGAGATGCAAACGGCCAGACACGAGCGGGCGGAGTTGATCGTCAGCAGCTCACATCAGAGGCAAGCCTTGTTCGCTTTTGAGAAGCCTCTGCAATCGAGGCTCATCATCGACTGGATTTCACCTGTTTTTGGGAGCGAGCCATTATTGAATCGCATAGCCTCCAACTATCTTGGGGCTACCATAATCAAGACACTCCCTGTACCGCGTCGGGAGCGATCAATTCCCTTCAACGATGAGTTGCAATCCACACCAGTACCCAACAAGGCCTCAGCAACCGGGCGTCGCATCATGATTGGCTTTATGGCTCTTGCTCTTCTGGTTACGTCTACTGCATGGCGAGTTGACCTCGACGAACCTCAGGGCTTGGGGCCGAAAAACGTCACCAGACCCTTCGACAACGTTGTGGCTGTACCAACTCCATCTGCCTTGGGCATTGAAGCTGTTTCGAGGCTGAGTATCATCTATCCCTGGACTCAGTATGTCTCGCCACTCCTCATTTACACTGTGGAGGGATATCGCATTGGCAACCAGGCCACGCCGCTCGCGATGCCATTACTCTTCTCGGCGGCGATAGGACTCGTAGGCATCAACCTCGCTGCGCCGTTGCATGCAATCCTGAGCGCTATATGCAGTAACGAAAGGCCAAGTGGACGTGCAGTTCCTCTCGAAGTTGCCAGATCCCTTGTTCCAGCACTTACTCTGGGCTATATCCTGCCTTCAATACTCGCCATAATTCCACTCCTCGGCGTCAAGAGAGTGGACTTGTTGCGTTTCGCCCCATGTCTTTTCAGCGTTTTGACTAGTCTGTTTACCTCGGGTCTCAGGTCATGGCAGTGGCACAGCTGCTCTACCACCAAGGACAGAAGCCGACCTGATATGGATCGATACACCAAGCGCGACTTGCAGACCCTCAAGTCGACATACAGCTTTGCCTTTGGTATCCAGGCCACGGCACACCTGATAACTCTAGGTGTTACTTGCTACAGTTCAAGTGCGTTGGTCAACAGAACGCTCCTGCGATCGACGAACCTCTTCATACCTGATAATTCCTGGCCAAACATAGGAGATGACTTCGATCTCTTGCACAAGTATGACTTGATGGCTGGGCTGGCTGCCGTTTTTGCATCAAAAATTTACTCGATTTGGGACTTACGCCGCCTCGGGTACATCAAAACGTTGGAAGCCATCCAGGTTGTTGTCGGTGTTGTAGCAGGACAGATCCTTGTTGGGCCGGGAGCCACCTGGGCGGGACTCTGGTACTGGCGGGAGTCAGTAATTGCCACCCAGTCTGTCTAAAAACGCGAGACTTGTGGATGGAGGCCGGCATAAGGTAGCAAAAAGCACCAGTGGAGGATTCTCCGTGGTCGGTGAAGCGGATATAAATAAATGCCATAGTATCAGCTTAAATGCATAGCGTGAGGAGCAGCGCAGCGATGGAAATATTACGCTCTAACCTGATGATCAGTCTAACTTACCACTTAACATAACGCCTAACATATATTGAAATCAACCACCGTTTTTCCTTTCTGGCGATGGGAGAAATACTTGAGAAGTTACTGTGTTGTGTCCAATTTTCCCACGGACGCGTCAGCACCGTTTCTTCAACAACGACCGCAATGCAGAGAACAGGGTTAACTGCCTTTCCTCCTTTATTTGGATTAAAATTTCTTTTTACATACTTATATCCAGTCCATCGCCTGGAATCAATCATACCGTCTGCTTCTCTGAAGCGTAGGCTCTGACCCTCAGGTGTTGGGTATTGGTAGAATTATCAACCTCATACACCTTTACCTCACATTGAAGAAGAGTCATTTCATAAATAACACCCCGCGTTCCTTTCGCAAGATATTCAATCCGATATGGTATTGATCTCAGAAACTTTATTGGCGACAGGAGATGCGATACTTCTTCAAATCGGTCTGCGAACTGGGCCCAAGCGGACTGGTAGATGTCTTGCAAATTCACATCCCCCTTCTCCGTCAGACAAACCGGGCGGCGTCGGCGTCTTTAGAGCAAGGTTTGCTTGTTGAGAAGTCGGACCTCGCTTATTGGTCACGAATGGGAGGTGAAGTTCTAATCAATTTCACTAATACAACACTCGAGATCTCAGCGAAAACTTCCGGTGAGTGAAGAAGCTAGGTTCTGCAGATTGATGTGTCCGCAATCTCCAGTCCATTGGCCATGGCATTGACACCCTGGGATTAGCAAGCTTACACCAGCGTGGGGAAGCATAGGTAAATTTCAAATCAAGCGTGCCTGAATGGAAAAACGCCAGAATTGCACCTAGCATAGGCAGGCAGACTTGCCTGCCAACGCGCGCAACATGAAGCACCACATCAGCGACTGCCGTGTAGGTGAGTGGCTAGCAAACGGTTCTTCCATCGCGTTCTGCTTTCTGAATTACCCAACTTACATCCGGGTCAAGGGATGGAGAAATGCTTTGCGGGCTGCCTGTAGGCTCAGACCGGTCATAGAAACCATGGTCAGACTCGGGTCGATACGCCCGATTTCCATTGCTGACAGTGCAGGTTCACGCCACGCCATTGGCTAGGCTGACTTCACTGCAAATAAGGCTCCCCCAGATGCACAGCCCTAGGGTAAGATTTTCTTGGCACCGATATTTGGCTCGAGAATGGCTTCAGGGCTGAGTTTGACTTGCATATCAAAACGCGCCTTACATATAAGCTTAATATGAACGTGGCGCTGAATCGCTTGTAGCGGGTAGTCATGGCCACCTTCAAGCCTTCCCGTGGTAAGCGACATGCCGCCCAGTCGTCTGCCTTGCGGCCTACGCCGTGTGTCTATTTTCCATGTGATTGGAACATCAGCCACTCGATCTTTCGGCAGCGATATGTGCCTGGTACCTGGCCGATCATCGCCCTGGCGGTTCAAGAGCTTCCTTGACCATTACAAGTGTATCTGTCGATCCGGAAGAATGAAGTCAAAGGATAGTTCCTGTGCAAACCTGCTGACAACATACATGAGCGTTCATCTCTCATGTACCAGCAATATGGCGCCAGATGGAAACAATCTTGAAAAAATGGTTAGCTCTACATTGCACCCGTCCCGCATCTGCTTTTCCGCCGTGATCTCGTTTTCCGGCCCCAAATCCCTTTCTGAGCGATGGCTGCCGGTCCTGTAGCCCACTCACAATTAAGCATTCACTAGTTCATCCAGCAAGGCTGAAATGCAGCTTTTTCTTCGTTTGGGAAGCACATCATTTGAGTCCAGACCAACCACTGTCCAGATGCCCCTGCTCAAATCCAGAATGCAACGCATGATAAGCGTGTGCGAGGGAGAATAAACGAATGCTGACGCCGCATCCCCCATGTTCTTTAAGCGGTTCAGCAACTTCAGAAGGAAAAAACACTCATGTTGCCCCCAATGCTTATTTTCCCAGCCACGTTTCCCGTAGCGAAATGCAGGGGTCCTAGATGATGGGGGCCAAGAATCGACATCGCAGCCGCAGAGCCTGGCGCGAACTGTAAGCCGACCCAGCCCTTTCAGGGGTGGGCGCAGAAAGAAACACATCTCGATGGACGCATCACGCAAATCATCTATCCTATCCATGCCTCATGCTGCATATGATTCGTTCTTCGTAAGCGAGGCAGGCCTGATGGAGAGAATCAGCAAGAGTGCCTTGCCAATCTTCGGACTTCGCGATATCGTGATGCCAGGGGTTGAGGTAGAAGCTGTTCAACAAGTCAATACGTGAAGATGATCAAGCGAGGTCAAGAAGTTATAAATATAAGCTCGACAATTCTCCTCACTGTCTTTCTTTTGGTTCATCATCCACACTATCAGTCTCATCATCACACTCTCCTTCTGAGCAAAAGCTCCAGCACGATCCTTCAGACTCACGCTGTTTCCAAGCAATACTTAGTCATCACGTCAAGCATCACCCACCATCAAAATGAAGTTCCAGCTCTTCACCGCCGCCATCTTCGCCACCCTGGCCATCGCCGGCCCGGTGGTCTCTGAAGCCACCGAGGAACGCGACATCACTGCCCGCGGCGCTGCTGATACTGTCAGCCTGACTGAGGAGACAGAGCTCGCCCTCGAGCTGGCGCTGACCGAGATCTTCTCCATCCCCGACGAGGTCCTCCTCAAAGGAGACGATGCCACCAACGCCTGGCTCATCGAGAACGGCTTCCGCGACGGCGACAAGAGCGTCAAGGAGGAGAGGGACGACGGCGCCCCCATCTCAACCCGCAGCGAGGACACCTCGCTCGCCATCCTTGAGCGCAGTGATCTCGAGGCTCGTGGGCCCCTTTCAGTTGCCAGGTGCGTCTATGCGATCACCAAGGCCATCGCCACGACTTTCATTCCCGCCTCCAAGTATCTCAGGATCAAGAAGTACCTCAAGAAGCTTGGTGGCGTCAGGAAGACCGTTCTGCTCCTCGTCCGTGCCAAGACCAAGAAGCAGAGGCTCCGAATTGGCGGCACTGCCCTCGTCAACGTTGCCAACGAGCTTTTCGGCATCCAGTCCATCAAGAGGGCCTGCTCCAACCTCTGAGGCAGCTTTACAGGCTCGCAGCAGCACTCTAAGTCATGATGGCTTGCGCTTGTGCGTTGGAGAAAAGGCCGTGATTGTAACGCGGTGGATGTGGTGACTGTTTGGTGATTGGGGTTGAAGGGTTCATTGCAGTTTGATCTTGGTTCTTGACAGTCTTTACTGCTGACTCGTTGCGGAAGTTTCTCTGTTCCTACTATAGTTCTGTCTTTATAAAACTGTTGAGCTCGCCAATGATTTGTGCATTGACATTTTCATGTAATACTGACATGTGAATCCAAACTTGTAATCCGTGCACAGTTGACATGGTTTCTGGCGCACCGACTTGTCCGAAATATTCTGGACTTTGCGATGTGTAGTACGGTTATGTTGTCTTAGATAAGTGGAATGCCATCCGCAAATGCTCCGTGCGGCTCCGTGCGAGTGTCCTTCTTTCAGGAAAATTAACTCTATCGTTCATCATCTATTGTGCTTGGTGTCTCATCCAAGGCCCAGCGCTTATCGCACAGAGAAGATGTGACTGCTCGTCGCGCAGTGCTTTAATCTGTGTACGGAAACGGCTCATGTCAACGGTAAATTCCTCCAGGCTAAAGTCTTTGCCTTAGTTCAAGAAAGGTGCATCTGAGGGGAAAATACAGTACCAGACATGCGCCTTCAACATACCAGAGCTATCTGTCTTCTTCGATCGTCTTTTGTCCCGAAACCTTCTTGGAAATCTCGTCTGTGGTGCATAACGCTCGATTTGCTAAGTTCTGTCCCCACGGAGTCGCATTGTCCAAATGCTTAAAGATATGCATGGTAACCAACAGGACTTACTGTGAGATCTGCATCGTTTGGCGTCTATGTTATTTTCATTTGACTATCAGGCCTCGGGTTTCGGATTTCTACGTCGAATATTCTCCCATCAGCAATCTGAATCCGTGTTGTCCAGTAATTCTGGCCAAGGTCACTGAGAAGGTTGTGAAGCGATCATTTTTACAGAACCTTTTCGCAATTGAACGATGTAGAGTGTAATAGCGAAGGGTGTTTTGTTTCCGATCGTCCGGCTGGGGTTTAAATTTGAACCTGCAATTTCTCGACAAAGACGGGATGCAAGGTAGAGATGAAAGTCTCAAGGCCCTGGACCTCTTGCTCCTTGTCAAATGTCTGCAATACAATCATCACGATATCGGTGATGGCTGCTATAGCCGGCCGCGGCGCGAAAACTACCCTGATCGAAGTTCATAACCTTACTGAAGGATCCATGCAGCTTTGAGACCCTGCCAGGCGGTCCTGAAGGCGTCGCATGATAGTAACAGACGAGTCGCTTCGTCGTCGTCCGAAAGGCAATATAGCTTGCTGAACAGCAGCCTCCACCTCCGGCAACATTCTTCGACAGGATTGGGGCTGGGCGCGGTTTGAACAGGCCAGAAACGGCCGACGAACATTATTTTTGGTCGAAGCAGCGCGGTGAATAGAGGGCGAGAGTTGATCAACGTGCCAAGGCGGATGTCGTGACGCAAGGTGTCTAGAGCCGCTTCAACGACGTGGGCATGTATCGACTGCCATCGTTCGTACTCAAGCCTGTCGGCGCCGGTCACGGCGCATATTGGGCTCTCTGGACGGACGAGCCTTTGGAACAATGATCGAACGATCGACTGAGGTACGTGTTGTCTAGTGTGGCATTACCCTACAAGCGACATCTCGCCGATGCGAGTGACGGAGCACTGCCTCGCAGGCATCGCGGCATCGTCAAACCCGCCGCCCAACGCATAACAGTTGATTGCAGGCATCGTTGCAGCCT